GACGGGTGCAGCCACTATGGAAAACGGGTGGAGGGTCATCAAACACTTAAAAATGGAGCTGCCTTGTGACTCAGCTATTCCACTTCTGGGCATATGGGTGTATCTGAAGAAACCCCAAAACACTAATTTGAAAGAATATACGCACCTTATGTTTACTACAGCATTATTTACAATTGCCAAGCTATGGGAGCAACCTGAGTGCCCATCAATAGATGAGTGGATAAAAAATTGGGGTGCACATATACAATGGAATACTACTTGGCCATAAAAACAACGAAATCTGCCCTGGCTGGTGTGGCTCAGTGGACTGAGCACCATCCTGTGAACCAAAAGTTCAGGGGTTCGATTACTGGCCAGGGCACATGCCTGGATCCCCAGGTGGGGGCTCGCAAAAAGCAGTCATGTTTCTCTCCCTTACTTTCTCCCTCCCTTCCCATCTCTCACAAAATAAATAAATACAATCTTTAAAAAATGACAAAATCAGCATGGATGGACCTATGGAGCAAAATGAACAAACAAAATAGAAACAGGGTCATAGATGCAGAGAACAAATGGATGGTTGCCAGATGGGAGGGGGTTTGGGGACTGGGTGAAAAGGCAAAGGGATTAAGGACTACAGACTGGTAGTCACGAAGTAGTGTAAGAATGTAAAGTCCATAGGGAATATGGGCAATAATATTGTAATAACTATGTATGGTGCCAGGTGGGTAATTAAAGGATCACTTTGTAAAGTATGATTGTCTAACCACTATACTGTACACCTAAAACTAATACAAAATAATATTGAGTGTAAACTGTATTTGAAAAATAAAATCTTTTTTTAAAAAAAGGGAGCTGGGAAGCTGGGACTGAAGCTGAGGCAGGTTGCACCAGGCCCCTAACCACCAGCCAAGGTGCCTTCTCCATTTTCAGTTTATTCCTGTGCATTTCTGGACTGAAGCAGTGAGTGGGACGGCCACGCAAACTCTCCCACCTCCCTTGGGGGAGTTTCTTACAAGGTCTTCCTTTACGTCTATCATGAGCTCACAGAAGGGCCCAGGAAGCTGTGAGACACACCTCAATCAGCTCCAGTCACCCCAAATCAGATTCCCTTGTAACAGAAGTTAGCGAACTTGCAACAAGCATCCAACCTCAAAACCCAGCCTTAAATTTCACCAGGTCAGGAGGTAACAAAATCCTGGAAATTTGTTATTTTTTTCCCCTAGGTGCTGAATATCACAGGTAGTAATAAAATATTCAAAGAAATCGTGTGTTTCACAAAGGAAGTGGCAATCCTGATAAATGATGATAAAGGGATATAGAATAGCTTATAAACTGTTGTTTTCAAATATATAATTTTCTTTAATGATTACTTTTGCCAAATGTTAATTTGGAGGTATTTTACATGAAAGCCTCCTTGACAAATACAATTTGTCTGTTATTAAAAGTTAGGATTAAACTGTATTTGTTTTTAGACTAAAATTTCATTTAAAAGAATTGGATTGTTTTACAAGTTGACAGACAAGCTAGTGATATACTGTTTGTCGTTACAGATAACTTTTGCAGAATTTCAGAAAGCACAAACTCCTAACTGTCAAACTATATTACTGTCTTAAATATCACTTCACCTTCTTATTTTTGAAAAGTCCCCATAAAGCAACTCTGCCTACCCCCCTCTAAATACTGTAAATTGCGGGAAACAGTGCTTCTAAGAACTCCATTTACACGGGCTGTCCATCCAAAGCCCTCGGCCCCACAGGAGGCTGGAGGCCTGCACAGCGTGTGTCCATCTTCCTTGCCACCTGGCTCCATTATGACAATGACCTCGAAGTCCCCAGAGACTTAAGGCCAGAGGAAGGGCAAGACCAGGGATCCTTCCGCCTCTGGGGTACCTCTGGCAATGGCCGTGATGGCAGTGGCCCGTGGGTGTGTCTTTGTGGGTCAGCCAGAATGTGCACTTGTGGGCGGGGCAGTGACAGTAGAAGGTGTGGGAGCCAGGTGGACGTTTATACTTCAGCTGTGAATTTCCCAGACACAAAATCCCACTCCGAGACCATGTCTCTCCCTCAGTAGCTAGCCTTTAAAAGGGAAAATGAAAGAATGTGAAATATTGTAATGGGTGACACCCCTCCCCCCAAATGGCGGAGGGGTTTGAGATGCGCCGAGAGACTGGAGGCTGCGCAGAGCGCTGAAGTGCTAAACGCTGTGCCGGAAAAGGGGCAACAGCAAGCGGGGCTGACGGCTGACGCTAGCTCTCATTGGTTGGAGGTCTGGACACACCCACTGGCGGAGGTCTGGACACACCCACTGGCTTTCCACACGCATGGGATCCTGGGAGAGGACTTTTGAAAGGAGCTCTCCCTCGGGAAGCGAGTCAGTTGGCTCTTTTCCTTAGTGAGGTGCGGGATCAAAGGTCACCAGTGCGCCTACCAATGGTGGCCAGTGTGGGCCTGTGAGCGGAGGCCTGGGGTCACAGACTCCAAAGCTGCCTGAAGCTGGACAGCGACTGGAGACCAGCTAAGCCGCCCCCATGTTTATGACAGTTCTGGGTGGGAGAGGAGGCTCCTGGCACAACCTGAACTGAGCTGGCAGAGGGCAACAGGAGATGTTTCTATGGGTGATACCGGTCAGCCCTGTGAACAGATTTTTTGTTCCCATGTTATTTTCGGTTCCTGAACCTATTAGTAGTTGTAATGACAAACATTTAGGTAGCTACTTTTGATATTGCCCTCTGACTTTTCCTTTCCCCTTACTTTTGATACACAGATATTTCAGGCAGAAACATGCTATAAATAAAAGTCCTTTCTTTTCCACTGAACTTGTCTTTGGAGATTTGCCTGGTAGGTGGTGAGAGGTGGGACCCTCCCCCACTACTGGTTGGGTTTGGTAACAGAAAAATATAACACACCTTTCCAGAGACTTTCAACCATTCGCCTGTGTTTTTGTTCTTGGGAGGGGAAATGCCACCCAGTGTGTCCATCAGCTCCCACCCCTTATGTTCAGCACCTGAAAGCAAGGGGTCCACTGTGCTGCACCCAGGTTCAGTGCCAGGGGAAGGGCCATCACCAGCCTGAGGAGAAAGGCCATTGCTCTCAGGGGTGCAGGGCACCATGATAACCATGGGCTTTCTGCTTATACCTGTTGCCTGCTTCCTCACCTGAGTGTAGGGATTGCCCATATTCCCTAAAATGTTTTAATTTCATCCTGGCTGGTGTGGCTCAGTGGACTGACTGCTGGCCTGTGAACTGAAAGGTTGCTGCTTGGATTCCCATCAGGGCACATGCCTGGGTTGTGCACCCAGTCCCTAGTTGGGGGTGTGTGAGAGGCAACCAATCAATGTTTCTCTCCCTCTTTCTCCCTCCCTTCCCACCTCTCCACACACAAATATACACACTTTTTTAAAAAATGTTTTCATTTCTTGGTGTTTCCCAGGTCCCCTCCAATATGAGAGATTAGGAAAGAAGCTAGGATAGTGTTATATATATATATATTTTCTTTATTTTTATTAATACAGTGTTTATTTTTTTTCCGACAAATCCCTAGCCAGCCACTTCCCCCAGGCTGCCTGCAGAGGTACAGGAAAAGGAACATACAGGGCAGACAGGACACGGGGAGAAAGAACTATGGGAGGTGGTGATGGCTCCTTCACATGGCGAAGAAGATGAGAAAAGCTTCCATCAGGCAAAAGAGTCCCATGACCTCAAAGCCCACAATGACGTAGAAGAGCTGTTGCTTCAGAGAAGGGCATAACCAATGATGAGGCTCCCACACACAGTCCCAATTCCAGTCCGAGTCTGCTGCCCCTACTGAGGTAGCCCCAGCCCCGGTGAACTTCACTGCTGTGGTGCTGATGTCCCCCGAAATGTTCCTGGTTTGGAAGCTACTAGAAATAAGTAATAAGTGATGTCAGAGGACATGGGGCTACCAAGCTGCTGAAGCCCTCATCTGTGTCTCTGTTGGTTTCAGCACCACCACAGATAGCGACCTGCTCTGCAGCTGAGAGGTGCTCCTGGCTGGGGGGGGGGGGGGGGGGGGCGGTGTGCACCAAACTTGGAGCAGGTGTATACTTCCAGGGGGTGAGGGGCTGCTCTCAAAGACAGAAAGGTGTGGGGGGGCGGGCTGTGTGTGTGTGTGTGTGTATATATATATATACACACACAAAATTAAAAAAAATTTTCCCCTTCTGGTATCTGGGCAAGTTTAAGCCAACAGTGACAAAGGGCAGCAGCTCTCTGGCTCAGAGAAACATGTCTCTTCAACCTCCAGAGGATGCTCCCCAGCCTCTCTAAACAGGGGCTGCGGATCTACATAGTCACTTATTCAATCTCGTGAACCTTTTAAAAGAGATTTTATTTCCAGACAGAGGAGAAGGGAAGGAGAAAGGGAGAGAAACAACAGTGTGTGGTTGCCTTTCACACCCCTCCCCCCGTCACTGGGAACCTGGCCCACAACCCAGGCATGTGCCCCAACCGGGAATTGAACCAGTGACTGTTCAGTTTGCAGGCCGACGCTCAATCCGCTGAGCCAGCCAGGGCAGTCTTGTGAACTTTAATCACAGTATTTCTGGTACCCACAGGGTTTGATTCAAGTGCTTGACAAACTACACTGACCTTGTAAAGCCCAAGTCAACCAGGCCTCCCCTGCCAGCACCCATCTGCTGGATAGTCCAAGGAGGCTGGCAGTGCCAGGGCAGATGTAGGTCACCAAGGCCATGGGTGGAAAGGGCTACCAGAAGAAATGGGGTCTCCACCTTGCCTTCTGTGGGTTACGCACACCAGATCCTGGCCAGCAAAGCCCATGGTCAGGCAGAAACAAGTCTTTGGCCAATGGTTATCTTGTGCCTCAGATACCAGGTGATAGCTGCTCCTAGCTGGAGCCCTAAAACCCTAGACCAGCGGTTAGCAAACTTCTGTAAAAGCCATATAACAAATATTTTAGACTTTGCAAGTCATATATGGCCCCTGTTGCAACTAATCATCTCTGCCATTTTAGCAACCAAGTAGTCAATGAGTGGATGTGGATGTATTCCAGTAAAACTTTATTTACAAAAACATGTAGTAGGCCAGATTTGGCCCATGAGCTATATAACCTGCCAACCACTGACCGCCCTCGATGATACTCAGGAGATGACCTGGAGACTATGGTCCACTCTGCTCCTCTGTAAGATGGACACCTCTAGGGTCCAACAGTTTTACATGGGGCAGAAAAGGGCGCTGAGTGTGGGAGTTTCCGACTAAGCGGTAGATGCAGAGGCCAGAACAGGAGGGCCACACTGCAACAGGCTGAGCTTCCTTCTTCATAAGAAACACCACTGTTTTATTCCAGGTCAGACTCAACCCTCATATGCCTCTACACATAGTCCCTGTGCAGGCACTGTCCTTAATGGGCCCTTAGGAGCCCTTGTGCTGCGGCCTGACCACCAGCCCCTCCCTGGTGATGGCCCAGTTGTAGCTTTTAGGGGAGTCCAGAGCTTCTTCTATTCGAGCATCCAGGTTCTCTCGGGTGATGAAGTTTTTTGCTTCCTCCTATTGGGAGAAAGAAGGCCAGCTGAATGGGAGCCCCCGGCACACACCAGCCTGCTGAAGCCCGCTGGCCTTCAGCCCACTGACAGAGAGGCTCCAGCTCTCCCCTGGGAGGCACGCTTGCAGCCCAGGCTCTTTGAGTGCCCTGCTGGCCTTCCAGCAGCCCTGCCACATTCCTCTTTCTTAATCATCCACTGGACACCTCTTCCAGAACCACAGCATGCCAACTGTGACAACTTAGTGTCCTGCAGGGTGGCACAGTTCCCTCAATGTTACCTCTTAAACCCCTCCTCCCCTATTACTTAATTCAAACCTCATTCATTTTTGCTGGATCACTTCTGCCAACCTAGCCCACATAATTAACCCTTCAGTGACTTTACCACCCATTAGGTAAAATACAAACTCTGTGGATTGTGGGGGGTCCCTCCCTCAGACACCAGCTTACCACACTCACCAGCTACCTGAACACCTTACAATGTCAATGGTCAGTCACTTCCAGCTCTTTCCGCGTGTTGCACACTCTCCTGGCTCTCCTCTTCCAAACCCCCACCTGCTAGCTAACTCTCAAGACTGCTCTATCTGCCCGTAGCCAGTGCCCCACTTCCCCACTTCGCTGCACCCAAGGCTCCAGCGGCCTCCCAGGCTGAGCTCAGCTCTCAGCCTCCAGCCCCACCCCCTGAAAACGCGGCCCACCTGCAGCTGCAGCAGTTCTTGCTCCTTGAGCTGCACCCAGGCCTGTGTCTCTTGGGCCTTACGGGCCTTCTCCTCCTCCTGCCGCTGCTCCTGCTCCCGGGCCTCCTGTCGCAGCCTCTCTATCCTGGTAGGAGCAAGAGGCTGAGACTGAGCTGGCTAGGTTCCCCGCGAACCAGCCAGGTGTCCCTGTCCCACTCGGCTCACCGCAGCTCGTGCAGCCGCTGGTTCTCCGCCTGATTCCAGGCCATCAGGTTCTGGTGTTCAGTGGCGTCCTCTAGCGCCTTGCGTTCGGCCAGGACCCCGGTCCGGGCCTCCTTTATCTTCCTCCGCACCTCGGACACGAACTCCAGCCTGGGCAGAGATGCGCCCGAAGTCGACACCCTCCTGGGCCGCCCGCCCCAACACGCATTCCCGGCGGCCGCCTCCCCCTCCGCCACACACTCCCGCTCGCCACACACACCTGAGAGCGCGCACCGTTTCGCGGTACTGCCGGTAACGCTCCGTCAGCACGTAGAACTCCGTAGGATCCACCGCGGGCGGGGTCGCCACGCGCCCGACCTTTGACTTAGCCGGCGGGTCGTGACGGGTCTTGCGGCCCCGCGCGGGTAGCAGCAGCGGGGCTGGGGGCCGCACACCGAGGTAGTTCCACGCGCGCAGCATGACCGAGTCCGCCTCGCGTCCGGAGCGCCGCAGGGCATCACGGAGGCCCGGAAGCGGGCGCGGGGCACCATGGGACGTGGAGTCCCGGGTCTATCCTCACTCCACTCTGGTTCCCTGGAGCCGGCTCCCGGCGGCAGGGGAGCCTAGCCTGCCGGTGTCTGCCGCCGTGCCCTGTTCGCAGGCTCTGAATGCGCCCTCCCTGCGGAGCCCCGTCCTGCCCCTTGTCCCTTCCGCTTGCGGGCTGGGCCCGCGTCCCTCCAGACCCCGCGCGGGCAAGGGTCTCCGAGTAGTGGGAGAGGAAGAGGAAGGAGAGAATTTGATGCAGCAGCGCTGGGGATCTCTCATCTTTATTGGGCGGCAGGGCTCAGCGCTCGGGGTCCAGTCGATAGGGAAAGGAGACGGTCATTCCAGCAGAAACTCTGGTCACCTGGCTGCAGAGCTGTGGCTTGGCCCATAGTGACCGCCCCCCTCCCGACCCAGCTTCGCGGAGCAGGATGCGGCCGCCTGCGTATAGACTTGCTCCTACGCCTAGAGAACTCAGCTTGGGGGGGGGGCTCCACCTCCCAGGGCATGCGGCTACCCCTAAACAAGCCTGATACGTAAAAACCTGAGCTCATACGGATTTACATTAGGAAGTAAGGTTTTGGCTTATAGGAATCTACTACTTTCTCCTTTAGTTACTGGTGCACTTTAAAACATAATGTGCAAAATAGTAATACTCCATCTCCACACACCGGTATTCTGATATGCCTTTGGGGAGCTCTGCAATCACTGCCATTTCTAGTGCCCTGACGATGACCGCCTGGTCCTCCAGGCCTTGCTACCTGTCAGTATGAGATGGCATCGCTCACCTCTTTCCATTGGCAAGGGGACACACTGGCTTCTCTAGACAAGAAAGAAGGCTGGGAGACCCCCACTGCAGTCACTGTCTTATTTATGGAGGTTTTGCTAGTACAGTTATTTCCTGCTCCACTAGTGACTTCTAATCTTTAATTTAACGTAATTATCTTATAAATTGTCTAGAATTTGGGGAAATAGGAAGAATAGCAGGCGGCACCTTGCTTATGTGCAGCAAGGGCTGGGGGTGCTGCCCAGGGGGTGTCTCAGTGTTGTCTAATTCCTTCTTCCACCCACATAGCCCCCAGTCCTTAGCCTCCATGGTCCCTCTCACTCTACCTACCAGCAGTGTCTGCATCTACCAGGTGCTGCTTTCCACGGACGGTCCATGGGCCTGTGGTCCTTCCCTCCCAGGTACACCTTCCCCAGGATGGGGAATGGGGGAGCCAGGGCATCGCCATAGAGGCTACAGGCAATCTGGTCTGGGCTGCCTGCAGCAGTGCCCGGAAACCTTTCTCAGAAGGGAGAAGAGCCCTGGCCTGCATGGCTCAATTGGTTGGGCTTCTTCCCTCGAGGCAAAGGACTGCAGGTTTGATTCCCAGTGGGGGCACGTGCCAGGACCGTGAGCCCTGTCCCCAGTTGGGATGCATATGAGAGGCAACCCATCGATGTTTCTCACACTGATGTTTCTCTCCCTCTTTCCCTCTCCCTTCTCCTCTCTAAAAATAAATAAAATCTTGAAAAAGAAGGGAGCTGAGACTTTCTGCCCTCACTACCCCCGACCCAAGACTCAAGGTAGGAGAAGGAGCCCCAGCCAGCACCTTCTCCCTCCCACTCAGGTTAGGGGGACCCATCACCCACCTGAAGGCCTTGGGGCATGCTGGCAGTGCAGGGGTGAGCTGAAGGCTTGCTTTCCTCCAGGGCACCAGCCGTGGGCTCTCTTCAAGGATCCAGGGGTGGCAGCAGCAGGTGGCCTGTCCTGGGGGTGGCCATGGCAGGGCTGTTCCCATGGCCAGTGGGCAGCCTCAAGGAGTCTGGCACTTCCATGCACAATTCCCTGCACTTCCTCCAGGGTCCATTTGGACAACTGACACTTCAGGGGCAGCTTTAGTGTCTCCTAATGCCCTTCCCTCTTCTGCCACTGCTCCTCATCCCAAGACTACAGGGGCCCCGACCCTGAGGGCTCCTGGCCACTAGCCTCCTCCCAGAGCCTGAGAGCCTGGAGGTTATCAGTCAGCTGGGGGCCAACCCCAGTCAGTCAGGCCTACCCTCCTTTCTTGGGGGATTTCAAAAATGGGAGAAAGTTGGAGAGGGAAATGGGCCAATGCATGGTCAGGGAAAGAGGAGTTCTTCACAAGACCGGCAGCAATGTGGGGGCAACTGGGGGCACCTGGTGCTAGGGGACCAGAGTGGCAGGTCCTCTGCCACTTTCTGTAACTTACCATAACTCTTCCCGGGCAGGTGGGGATGTGAATGAATGTGTGGTGGTGACAGGGGCAAGTGCTTCTACCCCTTGTCCCCCCCCGCCACACACACACTAGGGGCAGCAGACACAGGTTTTGTTGGAGGAAGGAAAGTGGGCTTTTTTGGGCATGGTTCATGGGTGGAGGGTTTTGGGAGGAGGAAAGGGAACTACCCATCCAGCATGGAGGTCCATCCGAGTTCCAGTCCTTGGGGAGGGCAGCCTCCTCACTTACAGAGAATTGTGGCTTCTTGAGGTGGCTCCTCCAGGCAGCAGGGCGACCCCAGAGAATCCCAGGACTTACTGATCAGGTGGCTCCACCCCCTGCTCCAGGCCACAGACTCCAGTGATGTTTTCAGAGGGAAAGGGGAGCAGCTCACCACCCAGTCTCCTTCCCTTACCACTGCACGTTCCCAGTTATTTTCGGCCACTGAACCTGGGGTCACCAGACTGACACTCCCTCCCTACAGCTTCCCACTTTCCAGGCTGCCTCCTCAAGCTCCTGTCCTTAGGCCTAAAAAGCCCTTATAGCCTTTTCTGATCCAAAAAGGAAGTTGTGGCCCTGAGAGGAACAATGCCTGGGGACAATCTGAGTTCCACCCAGCTCTGAACTCCCTAGTGGAAAAGTGGTGGCCTGAGTGGGGAGCCCGGCAACCTGTTAAGAGGTCCAGAGAAGGCTGTGACCCCTCTTCCTAAAGGACTCTTTTTGTCCCCCTGCAAAATGGATTTGGGAGAACCAGTGTTCATCCACATACTTGAGGACCAAGGCTGGGTCGATTCAGGGGGCGGTAGGTTTGGGTGGGGCACACCTGCCCGCAGGTGGCCTCTCTAAGAAGGCCTATGAGAAGGGCCGGCTGAGGAGGCTGTGCAACACCTTGTTGGGCTATCAGCAGCAGGTGAGAGTAATTTTGCTTCTCAAGCTTCCAAGCCCTCCCCATCCTGTGCTCAGCCCAGGGCTATGCCTGGATTCAGGCACAGGCGCCCTGGGACACTCAAAATGTGCTCCTGCCTCTGTTTGCCAGCTCAGATTTCTATGCCAGCTATCAGCCTCTGGGGGGCAGAGGCCCGTTTACAGCGTCCACAGCCAGTCTTCACATCTGAGCCAAACAGCAAATGCAAGGGCCTGGACCAGGCTCGGCATCATGATGGCCAGTCACTGGGAGAGCAGGTGCATCAATCCTGTGACAAAGATGGGGGAGGGAATGGCACAGCAGGGATGAGGGACGGGCACCACAGCAGGTTACGGGCACCTGGAACTCAGCTGCCTGGGAAGGAGGGCACGCATGTGAATTTCCACATGATTTATTTAGCAGGGACCTGACGTGTGTTAAATTGTTTTGGAAAAAGCCAACTTTTTCCCCCCTGATGTATTGGTTAACCAAGTAATTTTTAGAAAAAACACTTGTGGTTTAGTGAAAATGATTCTTTGAGTTTAACAAGCAAGCTTAGTTCTGACTTGGGTTTACAGAATGTTTTATTCAAAGTCCCTCAGGTTCATTTTAAAAGGAATGGGGGTGCTTTGTTTTTTCTCTAATTTGTTTGTGGTTTTTCCTAAAAATCCAAACCAGACCAGCTAAACTTCCCAAGGGAAGCTCTGGGCCCCCTATTTTGGGAGACATACCTACTTCTCAGAAATGTCTGCTATGCCCTTCCAGACTATAAGCTCTGCAGTTCCTCCTCCTCTCTCTCAGGACGACACAGGAAGCCATTTGCTCACTACTGAGTTCCAGCTAACTCTGTACTGAGGACATCACTACAGCCCGGGAGCTGCTCGTAGTCAGTGGGGAAAACAGAGGTGCGGAGCTGAGCGCTCAGGTGCCCCTGGAGCACAGAGGGCCACAAGCCCACTAGCAGGTGGTCTGGGTGATGGCAGAACACGGGCTAGCTAGAGTTGTGGAAATGGCAGCAATGTCGCTCTGTGTTAAGGAACAAGATGAAGAATCAACACAGGAACTGCTAGTGGATCCAAGGACTGGAGCAAGGTAGGGGTGGGCATTAAAGGGGTGCAGAAAATGCTGGAGGGCTGCAGGAAAGGACGTGGGCTTTGGAAAGACTGCATGAAGCCCTGTGCGTTGGGAGCATGGGACAGGTGCCTGTGGGTCATCCCATCCACAGAGCAGGAGGCAAGATATGTGGACCTGGAGTTCAGGAGGGGCTCACGTCTGGAGAAGGTGGACCCACTGCATACAGACTGCAGGAATGCCTGACCTGTGACGAGGGAGACAGTGGAGGAGCAGCTATGGAGTGAGGCTCAGTGTACAGGCCACCTTGGCGAGAACAGGTAAGAAAGGAAATGAAGTGGGAAAGAGGAATGAGTACACTTTTTCAAGAAGTCTATCATAAACAGGTAAGAATTTAGCCCTGGGGGAAGTGTTTTTATTTTTAATTGGGAACTTGATCATTTGGTGGGGGAAGTGATGGAGACAGAAACCCCAGGAGAGTGCTAACTTATTGAAGTGAGGTCTCTGAGAGTGTGGCAGACCCCAGAGCGCTTGCTGGGCACTGGACACCACTCATTCCCTTTCAGAGAAATCCTTGCTGACTGGCTGAGGGTGGGCACTGAATGAAGCAATCACCTCTGCCCTTCCCACACAATCCTTTCCTTTTAGCCTAGACCAGTTCTTACTGGGTGTATGTCTCTTGAAACCATGCGAACCCTGCTTGAAGACGTCTGTTTATTAACCAAGTGTTATTTAAAATACTGGCCCAGCCACTGACCAAATCAGCATGGACTCC